CCTTCTATTGTGACCTGGGTAGGAGTTAACAATAGGCTTAATCAGAACTTCCCTAATGTTATTTATTTATTTATATTTATTTATTTATTGTCAGATTCATACCCCGCCCTCCCCGCAAAGCAGGCTCAGGGCGGCTTCCAATGACATAAATACATGATAAAAACATACATAATACAAATTAAAACATAACAGTTAAAAGTTATGATATAAACTACAATAAAAAATTACATGTTCCAACGTTTCATCAGTTCTGATCAGTTCCCATCCCACATATACAACTTTTCCCAGTGATCTAGTAAATCTGGCCTCCAGTATAGCTGAGGGTAAGGCATTATATCTTAAAGGGTAAAAATTCTTCTGATTACAGATATCTAAATATTTGATGTAAGGTCTCAAACTTATCTTGTCAAGTGTAGTTACATCAAATACAGGGTTCCTAATCCTACTCACATCCATCTGTCATTCAGCATCTAATATTCTTTGTTTTAGAACTGATCTAGTCTGAGCATATCCCAAAGACAGTATAAACTGATTAGAAAAACCATAATAAACCAATTTATCCTCTGTCTTTTTCTGCCATGAAGGAACAAAGTTATCGTGCATCACAGTATAAGTAAGTCCAGTGGGTGAAAAAATCAGCTTTAACCGATAATGAAAAGCAGCAATCCACAGTCTTGCCTTCACCAAAACCAGGTCAGCCTCTAAACAGATGGCAGCATTTGAAACACTCATTGGAACTTGAAAAATAGCTCCTAAAAATTTCGATTGCCTTCTTCCAAGTGAGGTCAGGTTTGTCTGGAGGGAGAAAGGTGCTCCATATAATAATTGGGGTACTTTTATAGAGAATAACTTAATGGCAGTTTCTTAGTTGGTCCTTTGGACCAAAAAAACTTCTGAATAGCAATAAAAATAAAAATTGCAGCTGCAGCTCATGGTGAATTTTTATTCAAGTCATTTTCATACCAGCTATTTAGTTCACCTTTGCTGCTCATGGGAAGCAGGTTTATTTCCTCCATCTACACAGCACTGTGCAGTTCTTGTATACCCTTCCAGCTTTTCTGCTGTATTTCATAAACCTGTCTTGCTATAATCTTGTTAGAAGGATCACACTTCAATCAATCAATTTATTACGGTCATAGACCAGCAAACAATACAATAAGAGGGAAATGGACCGTAAAATTATAAAATATAACAGCATCTAAATTGGTCTTGGTATAATTTATCTCCAAGTAGTTTTGACTACAGTATTGCGAGAGAGCACACAAAGCTCTCTTAAGGTAGAAGGAGGATCACACCAAAGCTGGGGTGGCTGCCATAGATCTTTCCCAGTCCCATTCACATTAGTCTCACTTTTCTCGTTCCTGCCACTGGAGGGCTTGTTCATTTTTTTAAAAAAGAATAATCAACAAATCGCTGTACCTTTCTAAAGTTAAAACATCTGTCTGTTAGGTCATCAGAATTCCCAACTTTCATTTTTCAAAATCTCTACCCTTTCCGTTGTGAAGACATGCCTTTCTCCTTATGTATCAGTGACAAAAGGGACTAAAGATTTACTTTTTAAAGAAAACTAGGGATTCAGAGGACATGGCAGACAAACAGAGAAAGTTGTTAATTACTGATTTAAAAAAAAAACAAAGAAAAAAAATCACTGTGGTGATCCCACGGCTGGGGCGGGGGGAAATGTGGGAAACCTTAGTTATCAGAAAAACAGAAAGGACTATTGAACAATATCTGCCACAAGCTTTGCTTAGAATGGGTGTTCAAAAAGGATTGGCTTATGGATCAGGATGTGATGGTACGTTGTCTTACAGCACCATTATTCAAGTTTTTTAAAAGGGATCGCTGTAGGTCCCTGTATTTAGAGAGGTTAACCAGCCTGGAATTAAGATCGGCTTTTACAGCTTTAGTTCATTTCCAGTTCTAACATAAGCCAAACATAAGAGCACCAAAATATACTTATAAAAAGATATATTATTCATATGCATTACTTAGAAATAATCTTTCTAAAAGGAAGCCTTGAGTATGATTCTTTTCATATTTTTCTATATTACTTGTCTGAATTGATCCCAATGAATAAGAAGCCAAGTAATTAAGACACCATCTACTACTGGAATAAAAAGGTAAAGGTTCCCTTGCTCGAAAGCCAGTCGAATCCGACTCTAGGGTTGCGGTGCTCATCTCCGTTTCAAAGCCGAAGAGCCAGCGCTGTCCGAAGACGTTTCCGTGGTCATGTGGCCGGCATGACTAAACACCGAGGCGCACGGAACGCTTTTACCTTCCCACCGAAGTGGTCCCTATTTATCTACTCGCAATTTCTTGCTTTCGAACTGCTAGGTTGGCAGGAGCTGGAACTAGAGACAGGAGCTCACCCTGTCTTGCGGCACCCGGGTCTTGAACCACTGAACTACTGACCTTCCACAGCCTGCAGTTCAGCGTCTTAACCACTTGAGCCACCGCAGCTCAAGTATACTGATATATATATACACAAACACACACACACACACACACAAACAATTGTTTACATTACCATTTTATAGTCTGATGTATTATATTATGGCCTATGGCTAAGACAATAAACTTATACTTGACTCACAAGCTTTGTTAGCTTGTTTCCAGTTCTAACATAAGCCAAGCATAAGAGCACCAAAATGTACTTTATAAAAAGATATATTATTCATATGTATTACTTAGAAATAATCTTTCTAAAAGGAAGCCTTGAGTATGATTCTTTTCATATTTTTCTATATTACTTGTCTGAATTGATCCCAATGAATAAGAAGCCAAGTAATTAAGACACCATCTACTACTGGAATAAAAAGGTAAAGGTTCCCTTGCTCGAAAGCCAGTCGAATCCGACTCTAGGGTTGCGGTGCTCATCTCCGTTTCAAAGCCAAAGAGCCAGCGCTGTCCGAAGACGTTTCCGTGGTCATGTGGCCGGCATGACTAAACACCAAGGCGCACAGAAAGCTGTTACCTTCCCACTGGAGTGGTACCTATTTATCTACTTGCAATTCTTGCTTTCGAACAGCTAGTTTTGGCAGGAGCTGGAACTAGAGACGGGAGCTCACTCCGTCATGCAGCACACCCGGGTCTCGAACTGCTGAACTACCGACCTTCCATAGCCTGCAGTTCAGCGTCTTAACCACTTGAGCCACCGCAGTCCATTCTTAAAAGCCAGTGTAAAGCAGGGGTTAGTGTGTCAGACTAGGACCTGAGAGACCTAGGTTTGAATCCTCACTCCATTGTAGAAGCTCGCTGGGTGACCTTGGGGCAGTGACACACTCTCAGCTTAACCTACCTCACAGGTTTCAGGACGGTGGCCATGAGTGTCTGTAGTAGAAGGTTTGAATCCAGTAGCATCTTAGAGACCAACAAGATTTTTGGGGCATAAGCTTCTGAGAGTGAAATCTGCCTTTGACAGATTTGAGAAAGGGAGCTTTGACTCTTGAAAGGTTAAACACCAGAAATCTTGTTGGTCAACGAAGTATTACTGGGCTCTAGCTCTACCTCACAGGGCTGTTGTAAGGATAAAATGGAAGAGAGGAGAATGATGTAACTGCTTTGCATTCCCATGGGAGAGAAAGGACGGGTATAAAGATGCAGGAAATTAATGCTGTATTGCTATATTTATTAGGCCATAAATAGACCTTGCTGCTGGATTAAAGTTTAAAATGCTCCCCTCATGCTCTACAAACTGTACGAAACCAAAATGATGCTTACTTGTAAGTATGTCCTGTTACTTCATTTCTGACCATAACATATTCCACTAGCCACTTGGCATACAGACCAGAATTATCATGTCCTATTTGTACTGTAGTAAGTTTTCCCAGATTCTGACACTGAAATTTAAAAAGGGAAAAAAATAACATGATGGATCAAAACAGAATGAAAATAGCACATGGAGAAAACAATACAATCTACTGACCACTACTATATAAGCCAAGTCGTTTTGAGTTTTATTTTGAAAGAAAGAAGCCATATTCAGACTGAACGGGAAAGGAATATGCCAGTGTTAAGATTACAAAGGAATGAAAAAAAATAATGAATGTTATACTAGTATACACTGACCACACCTCAAATGTCATCTCTAGTGTATTCCTGGGAATCTGTAGGACTCCTGTTTCACCCAGTTCTCCTGAAATACATATCCATGGATTGGCTGTGAACATTGAGCCGCCAAGCTTTTTGCTAGGAACAATCAATATATGGTATGGAATCACTGGAAAAAACAACAACACAGAATAAGCCTTCAAAAGAGACAAGTAACACCATTAAAACAGAAGAATGATGTTTTGCTCTTACACTGTATCCTTAGCATATATTGTAGTCTACAATAGGTTCAGCCTATAATATGGGACTCCTGGATACCAAAAAAGCTATAGTATTCAAATCAAAATCTAAAACTGCTGATCATAAAAACGTTATTCATTTTTAAAAAGATTTATAACATAAATACTAAGACCATATTAATTTATTATTTAGAATATTTATTTTTGGCAAACTTTCAGCAAGTCTTTCAAAAACTGACAGTAAAACAGTCAATAAAATAGTGAATCCAGCAATAAAATAATGCACAGCAGCTGAATAATCTCTTTAAATCAGTATTAACAGCCCAAACCAGGAAGTAAGACCATGTAGAAGTAGTAAAAATGGCAATAAATCATTAAAAAGTATTAAAACAGCACAGCAGGAAATATAGTCAATCAAAAGCCTGGAGAAAGAGGAAAGTTTTCACTAGGCATAGATGAGGTAGGCACCGAACAAATTATGATAGGATGGCAATTCCAAAGTCAGGGTGCCACCACAACAGAGGCTTTGTTGGGTGCACCCCCATCCTTGGTGGTAAAATCAGTAGCTGCCAAAGAACTTGTAGAAAATCTCAGCATGTCTGCAGGCACATGTGGGAGCAAGCAGTCTGGTTCCAGACCATGTAGTCATTTAAGAACCATCATGTAGAACTGTGCCCAATTAGCAGCCAACTCCAAAACTGGAAATGTGTGCTTCACAGCTCATGCAAGTGTTTCTACTATATTTTAAATAAACTGAAACAGGCAAATAGCCTCCAAAGGCACCAGCGTAGAGTACATAGCAGTGATGGCTACGTACTAGCTGTGGCTAAAGGCAAAGGTAATGGTTTCCCTTGCTCGAAAGCCAGTCGAATCTGACTTTAGGGGGTGGTGCTCATCTCCGTCCCCAAGTCGAAAAGCCAGCGCTGTCCGAAGACTTCTCCGTGGTCATGTGGCTGGCATGACTAAACGCTGAGGCGCACGGAACACTGTTACCTTCCAACCAAAGTGGTACCTATTTATCTACTTGCAATTTCTTGCTTTCGAACTGCTAGATTGGCAGGAGCTGGGGCCAGAAACAGGAGCTCACTCCGTCATGCAGCACTAGGGTCTCGAACTGCCAAGGTACAGATCTTCTGGTCTGCAGCTCAGCGTCTTAACCTCTGAGCCACCACAGCCCCTAGTTATGGCTAGGTGGTGCCTATCCAGAAAAACACATAGCTGGAATACCAACAGAAGTTGGCTAAACGCACAATACCCTACAAAAAAGATCCCAGCAGTTTTATTTCATAGACAAAATGCAATCCTGCAGGATCCCATAGCATGGATGTTAACAGGCCAAGCAACTGTCCTCCAGCACCACCTTCTGCCAATTAATGGCTATATAGGTCTGGAACCACAAGGAAAAAACCCCCAAAACCTGATACTGAAAGCTGCAAGAATTCCAGGAGAATCAAAAGAGCTGCGTTTCCCCATTTCTTCCCTGGCAGAGATAGCCAGAGCAACAAAGGCAGTTGCAGTTACAAAACCAGGCCAGAAACTAGATTGAACTGGGTCTGAATAATCCACTTCTTCCAAGGTAAAATGGAATTGTGCATCCATCATACGGCCAGACCCAGCTTTCCTTCCCAAGGTTGTCTCCACCTTTCATCTTTTGAAGTCCTCTATGCTCCCAGTCTTTTTCCAAAACCCTGCTGATGAGCCTCAGAGAGCACTACACTCACTGGATGTGCGTCGGGCTTTCTCCTTTTATCTCCATCACACTAAGCCCTTCTGAAAATCCTCGAGGGGTTGAGGTCTGGATGGGGCCACGAGAAGTCAGTCATCTATGTACGGATACATGACAATTCCCCTCTTGTGAAGCTCCACAGCCACAACAGCCATCGTTTTGTTAAAGACATGAGGAGCAATGCTGAGACCAAAAGGAAGAACTCTGTACTGGGAATGCTCTGCACCAATGGCAAAGCGGAGGAACCGTCAATACTGTGGCCGAGTGGTAATGTGAAAATACGCATCCTATGGATCATGGGTGGCCAAACTTGCTTAACGTAGCAGCCACACAGAATAAATGTCAGATGTTTGAGCTGCAAATATTACGCACACGTTTTTATTGAAAAATATGCAAGTGTGCTTTTTATTAACATTAAATTAGACTGTGTGAAAGAGCTGCATGTGGCTCCCGAAGCTGCAGTTTGGCCACCTCTGCTATAGATCGATGGATGCTAGCCAGCCGTCTTTTGGGAGGAGAGGTAAAATTGATTGAAGGGTGATTATACAGAGGTCATTTGGGGGGGGATCGCAGTTCCCCCGGGTGAGGTATGGGGCGGGGCACATGACGAAGCCCCGCCCCCTGCTTCCGGACCTCATTCAGCCAGGAGGAGGCAGGAGAAGAGGGAGGGTAAGTTGCTTCCTCCCTGCCTCTCCCCACCCCCGCCTGCCTGGGGCCAGGGAGGGCCTTCTCCAAATGAAGGGATGGAGACAGCGGAGTGACGACGAAGTGATGGGAGTGAAATGAACTCTAGGGCGTATCCCACCCGCAGGATTGTTAGGACCCAGATGTCAGTGGTGATATCTTACAAATGTGTGCTAGATGCCCACAGAATAATACAATGATATAAGAGACTAGATTAAAGCCATAACATCATTTAGTGCCTAGTAATGAAAAACTACTTATTCCTTCATAGAAAAAAATACAAAGGTCAATAAATTTACACATAGCAGTCTGCTCCAAACTCTCTCGGTAAATATCCTTCTAACAGTCTTGTATTCTCAAAAGCAGTCTGCTCCAAATTCAATGTCTCTTTCAACACTGTTTTAACAGTGTTTCAGTTTCCAAAGTAAGTTTACAAGAGCAATGTCCACACTTATGATGCCCTCTAGTGGTCAAATTGACCATTTTTTCTTGATCAACCCTATGTTTAAGTAAATCTGAATGAATTAATAGATCTCTAAAATTTGTTGTTCTTCTAAAGCCTATGTTTGGTTTGGTTTGACACCCAGGGATATTACGTAGGACATGCCAATGTTTTAAAATGATCTTTTTTTATCCTTAAAGCCCTAGGTGTAAAATCAAAAGCTGCAAAGATGTTTTGTTTCTGGTGTTTCTTTTTTTCTTGTAAAATTTCTTTTCTATCCATTTCTTGTGCTCTGTATGCTGCCCTATGTACAATTTTAGGAGAATGAGATCGACTCTGCAATAAATCCTTCCTGTCATCCAAAATGTGGATAGGCGGTTGGGAGTCTGTTGTAGTCAAGTCACGCCTCTTGGTCGGTGAAGAGACATGGTGTGGAGTCTTAAGTACTGAGGAGGCAGCACGCTGGCCCGGGGTGACATGATCGGTCTGGGTAGATAGTACCAGAGTGAGGCTAGGAGGTCTGTCCGCAGACTTGCAAGGGGCCGTAGCCAAAGGGCCGACCACCAGGGTGGGCGTTGACAGGCCAGAGATTATAACAGGGTCAAGTTTAGGCACTGAGGTTGAAGTAGATGCTTTCGTTTTCGAGGTCAAAGGCCCGGTACTGTCAGGTTTCTTATGAGATTTTTTAGCAGGCTTCTGAGGAGTCCCTGAATTAGGTGTTTTTTGTGGAGCAGACAAAGAATAAGAAGCTGCTGAGGACATGGTAGGATGAAGTGCAGCCTCAAGAAGTATCACCTTTAGACGAGCAGATTGGTTATGTCAGGCCTTATTGGTAAATTTTGCACAATGGAGGCAATCTTCTATGCGGTGAAGTTCCCCAAGGCAGAGAAGACACAAATCGTGTCTGTCGTTGGAAGGGAGCGTAGCAGGGCAGTGGCGACAAACTTTGAAAAATAGAGTCCGGCACATATACACACCTCCCCCACCAGGTGGGGTGGGCAGAATGAAAGGAAAGGAAAAGCTGACAGGATTTTTTAAAGACAAAGATAGTCCACAAACGAAGAAGAAAGCAGAAAATGAAGAACAAGGCAATCCAGGAAAAAACGTAGCTGAGGCAAGCGAAGAGCAAGGCAGAACTGAGTGGGAGTGCGTGCCTGCTCCAGAGCAGGAAGAGAGCCCGACAAAACAATTCTGAGGCAAGTTCTGGAAGTTTCTCTGATGATGTTGTGCGCAGGCACTCAACCCATGTGAGAGACTGCACAGAGACCACAATGACAATCAATTATTTTAGCAACCTAGTCTCCTCATCTATGCATGGGCTCTGGGAATCCTAACTTTGGTATATACAGGTGATGAGCCTATATTTTATACCTATTGTCATTTAATATCCACAAATCCCCAAGTTTATTAATTAAATAAGGCAATTTGGCTAACACAACAAGCATTTGATTATTCCAGACATCATGAAAGGGCAAGAGGCAACAATATTTAAAACCTAAGATGAAACTAGAGAACTATGCAGACCTGCCAATGAATCAATAAGGAAACACTGGCTTGCCTCTATTAATAAATACCCCAGAATAAACCCTTTAGATACTCAAAACAAAGGCTGCTGCAGTGAGCCCAATGATCTTACATAATGTTGATGATGCTCTTCTGATTTTACTTCTGGTTAACACAGAAAGTAATGCAAAATTGATAACACAGTATAATATACATAAACCAAAAAAGCACTGTATAAATAACACAATCCAGGGCACTATACTGAAGTGCAAAAGAGAAAAGAATATTTATACAAAACAAAATGTGTACATACAGCTACAATATAGTGTATACAAATAACATACAACAACACAGAGTGTATACAGGATGCCGGCACAAAGGACATGGGACGAAGACTCCGGATTCCAATCTTCGTTTTGTTGATACTTCTTCAGTTGTACCATATAATTTCATCTAGTGTTCAATATACAGAAGCCTTCATGTTATTATCACATCAAACTAGTTTAAGCAGGGCAACCGATCATCAGTAGAAAACATTCTTACATTGTCAGTAAGCCTCTGGATTGCGTTATTTA